ATGAAAAAATCCTTTGTTTTTCCTCATGGTTCCTCCCTTTCTTCCTTCGCCACTGTATATTATTTTTATGTATTATTATATATAAAAATAAATTTTTTTATAAATATTAATATTATATAATAATTGTTAAATATTATATATAAAAAATTAAATTTATTAATAAATATAAAAAAATATTTATATTTTTTAAATTTTTTTTGAAAAATTATTTTAATTATAAAGTTATAATAAAAATTTTTTTTAATTTAATTAGAAAAATTTTGTAATTAAAATAATTCTTTTAGAAAAAATCTAAAAAATATATATTAAACTATTTAATTATAAATTTTATTTTAATATAAAAATAAAAATATTTATTAATAAATTATAAATTTTAATATAAATAAAAATTTTAAGTTTTATTATATTTATTAATAACTTTAATTTTAAATATATAATATTTATATTAAATATAATTAAAAATTTTATTTAGAAAAATTCAAAAAAATATATATTAAAATTAAAAATTTTTAAGTTAATAATAAAAATATAATAATAATTAAAGATAATATATTAAGAAATTAATTTTATTAATAAAAATAAAAATTTTCTTTTTATATTAAAACTTATAAAATAATTTTTATTTTTAGATTATAAATTATAATTTAACATATATTTTTCAGATTTTTTAAAAGATTTATAATTATTATAAGATTTTTTTAATCAAAAATTAAAATTTAATTAAAAAAATTTTGTATTAATTTTAATTGAAATAAATTCTTTTAAAAAAATCTAAAAAATATATATCAAATTATAACTTATAAATTTAATTTTAATATAAAAATAAAATAAGATTATTTCTTAATATAGAGAAAAGATTTTAATTTTTATTATTCATTAATAAAATTGAATTTCTAATATATTATTTTTAGTTATTATTGCAATTATTAATAAAATTAAAAAAATATTTATTAATAAAAATAAAAATTTTAATAAAGAAAAAATTCAATTTTATTATATTTCATTAATTAATTAATATTTTATCTCATTTCTTTTACAAGTTCTATAAACAAATTATTATAAATATTTTAATATTTAAAATAATAATTTTAATACTAGTAATTTTAAATATTTATAAATTTTACTTTAAAAAAGTTTAAATTAGTTTATTAATATTTATTTTAAAATTTTGAAATGATTTATTAGTCAATTTATATAAAATTAATAATAGATTTACTATTGATTTATATTATTAGCTTTAAGTTTTATCATTTATAATCGTGAGTTTGATTCACGGAAACCTGGTTCTGTTTTTGAAAAATTTTCATGCAATTTTTTGGATTTATAAATAAGCAACCAATAAAGACTACGTATTCTAAGAAATCGATTGATATGCTTGTATATTTTATGATCAAAAAATCTGCTCTATTAAATTAATATTTTGTTAGTCTTTTTAGATGATTATATTTTTTCCTTTATGACACTTAATTGCTATTATAAAAATCCATTATCCTAGATCAAAGTTAAAGAGCAAACAGGAAGTTTATTAGTAAATAGCGACGAATAATCTTATTCCCCTGCATCATCCATTCTGCAGAAGAAATTGATAGATCTGTCAGCTATGTGCATTTCCCATCTGTTTCCTATAAGATCTAGACCATTCTCTCTTGGTCATCTGTCAACCACGACTGACTGTTCCCGCGGTAAACCGTCGCCAAGTTCATGACCTGATCCATAAATCCAATCTTTTCATACCTCCAAAATCAGGATATAAATTAACGTCTCACCTGTTGAAAAGAATTGTTTTGGATTAAAAAACATGGACTTACTCTGAAACAACATAAGTTCATTTTTCAACCACAAATTCAGGACTTACCGTTACGAGAGTATCACCTTAAATAAATATAGCCTACAACGTAGATAAAGCCTGGGTTTGACAGAATCCTACTTTGGGAATGCATCAAAAAGACTTTCTCACAATACCTATAGTATATGACTGTCATGACGCGAGGCAACATATAACGCACCGGTCATTAGGGCTACTTTTCGTGCATTTTGGCAATGAATGTCTGAGCATTACAATTTCGACTTATCATCGGTCTTATCTGGGAAAGGTCGATGTTAAGAAGAACGTGTTGCCCCGACTACACGATGCTTGAATTGTTAGTATGGAGTGTTCACTAAGGAAATTTCGATGCAGTGTACCTTTAACTTCAGGGATGCATGGTCCTCAGGTTGAGAACTTTTCTAAAGATAAATGTCGTAACTTGTCATCAATGTCATGTGTTAGTTGTTACTTTTATGATTACAACTCTCACGGAATGAATCTACAGCAAAAAACCAACAAAGAAATTAGCTTATAATGAGAAACTCAAAAGTAATAAGGGCGAGGGGAAGAGTGTGCGAAGGAAGAAAGGGAGGAACCATGAGGAAAAACAAAGGATTTTTTCATATTGTTTTTTAGTTTAGTGCGATCTTAATAATGATCATTACCACCAATATGTCTGGTTTACGTTGCAGTACAAAAATTTTCATCAAACCACAATGAAACAGATCCATTTATGAAACAGCCGTCGTGTCACAGATACGAACCACAGAGCACTTTTAACTAAACATTAGAACACAAACGACTGGTCGTCGTTTTTTATTAATTTTTGGCAACCCACTATATTTCCATTTAGGAAAGGCTATACTTCCATCAAGGAAGGCAAACTAGCGAATATAGGCAAGTGCTTCTTCGTTGTAGTATTTTTATAGCTAATAGCATTTATATCCTCCGTTATCAATATTATTGGCTCTATTATAAAAATTCCCAATTAGATCTTTCAATTTTGGTTTTTTAGCTAAACCTGGTGATTGATTAGTCATGTTCATCATAAACTTTCCCATAAATGTATAATAACACGAACTGCGATTATTCAAAAAATAAAAATTATGATATCGATATCACATCATCGTCTCACTTAAAAACTTGATTTCTAAGTTTATGATAATTTTGGCCAGCACCGTGAACAGACTGCCTTATCATGCGCATATAAATAAAAATATATTATCTCTCTTTCTCTCTATGTAAAAATATATTTGTGAATTAAAGAGTAATCTAAAGAGAACTATATGGAGTTACTCGAATAAAGGTGAATAATTTGACCCGCTCGTTATATCGCACAAAAATCTGCTGTACACGCGTGTACATTAATATTTATCGCGCAAATTTGTAGCTCCGGCTATCATGAATTTAATATTTATTTAGGCACTAATATCAATTTGTAAAAGAAAGTGGTAATCTGTATAATATCTATGTAAAAGTTTTTAAAACTTTATTATTAGGTAGTATAATCGATATATTAAATAAATTGGTGATAATTGCCTAACACAATACCCACACACCAATACATGTGCCTCAATTATGTTCACACGAACACAAAGAGAGAGAGAAAGAGAGGAGAAAAGAGAAAGAATGCAAAGACAGACCAAGAAAGTATAGAAATAGTTATTTGTTATTTCCAAATTTAAAGAACTCATGCATTGCACATATATAATTGTGATTATACAGTATAAACGCAATAAATATTACTAGTGATTAATTTAATAATAATAATAATAATAATAATAATAATAATAATAATAATAGAATAAAATATATGTTATTAACTTTTCAATGTACAGTAGTATAACAAACATGCAATAGTTATTACTCAAATAACCTGTTGTTCTATTCATAACCCTTGATTATATGCATCTCACCAAAAAAGAAAAGAAAGATGAGAAAAATCAAGCTGGATACACGTAATCCACCGCATATTATCATTATTATCATTATCATTATTGTATGCATTGACTGATTTCACGTCAGCAACAACGACGGGGATTGTGATAAATAAAAAAGCTAATATAAAATTAATATATTATTTTTTTTATTTTAACTATAGAAAAAATTTGATGGCATTTCTTTATAAATATGTCAAATTTTTCACGACAAATATCTCGTCATTTGGGAGCTTCTTGTTTTTTGCTTGAAATAATAGGAGAAGAAATAAAATCCCGTAGACTGAAGAAATAATAGAGGATTAATTCTATAAATTTCTATCCGTCCTCCTTCTCTTCTCACTTGTCCTTTATTTTATTTTTGAAATCAAATCTCTATAGGAGCAATCAAAAGATACGGAACTATTCATTATTAATGTTGCTCGGCGAGCAATAAATTAATTTTGAAAAAAATTTCCCTAAAAAAGTACGGAAACAATAATAGTAATACTAATAAATCATAATAAAAATAATATTAGTATTAGTCGTTAGTAGCGGTAGTAGTAATAATTATATGAATAACATCAAATTATCCAAATACATACACAAAGACAAATTATTCTCGTTCGTTAATGATCACACGCATAAGAACAGTACACGGATACGCACGAGTTTTATAAACCACATAAAATCGATTCATATATACACAAAAGCGCACAAAAACCTCAAGATTTAAATAGCCGTTTTTTTTATAACGATATTTTTCTAATTATTTAAGATCTCTTCAGCATATAGCACCTAAAAAAATATGCCCGCAAAATCAAGAAAATCAAATACAAAACAAATCGGGTGGCCTTTGGCTCCACTCGAAAACAATATAACTAGAAACAAAAATGTTCATATTGGCTACTACGATAAAGATAAAATTTTAAGGATAGTTCCCGAAAATTATACGAGAAAACGGCTTGATGAGCTTGGTCATTTTTATTATAATAAATCAATTTGGGCTGATTGCAAGATACTCGTTACCGGGATTACCGAGAATACCATAGGGCAGGAATTTCCAGGACATGAGCTATATCTCGTGTCAAGGAGCCATTACTTTAAGTCGATGTTCGAAAAAATTCATCTCCGACAACCTGACGACAACTTGGAAATGATTGAAGATGAAAATGGTTCTTTACCAAGAATCCGCGTTAATATATTGAATCCGGAATTCAGCAAATTCGATAAGATGTTGGAGTGGGTAAGTTGAAGGTTTTGCAAGTTTAAGAGTTGAGATTTAGATGACTTTTTGGTGGCTTACATCGCTCTTTTTCTTTTCAAGATTTATACCGGTGATAGTGAAAAATGGCTCTGCTCGGCATTTACCCCCTATAATTATAAAATTATCGCTGAGAATGTTCGTATTCTTGGGCTGAGTGCAGCAATGTCGGTTTGTGCACAATATAGGGATCACTTGACGATTTGTCGATTACAACTTTCTTATAAATTACGGGAGGAATTAAAAATCACCAACGATGAGAGCATCTCCGCAGAACAATAATATGTTTCAAAGCAATAACAATACATAAGCAATTAAGACAAATATTTTAGAAATATGATTCTTTTTATCATAAGCTCTTATTTACGAAATTTTATTCTCATTCTCCTTAATTATGTAGAATATGTAATTTATATATACACATACTAAAATAGATTAAACAAAACGACGACGATTTTCAATATTACGCAATTTTCTCTTTATTAACTTAAGATTACATTTTCGCTTTGTACACCAACTTTATCATTTCGTTAGAAATAAATATTTTATCAACTGGTGAATTGTTTAAGTTGTGTGATTAAAGATTTTCTTGTAGTCCAGTTTTCAGTTTTTTTGTATCACTTTGTTTTTTAACAATGGTTTTATAATTAATTAATTAACCAACTACAAACTTACATGTATCAAACAACAATGCACTGCAAAATATATTAACATGCATACATAACATAAATTGTATACATGATCATCCAGATAAAGTCTATCGCACAAAAACCACGCGATGGTTACTTAAGATGCAACAAACTCCCCATACTGTTGTCAGAAAATTTTTAATAACAAAAATTTTTTAAAAAAATTTAACATTCATGGTCGAATATAGACGTGGGAATAAAATAGCATTTAATCTTAGAAGAGGATTTTAATTGGTGCTGAACTATCCTTTTGCTGGCAAGTGGGTTGGCCAGCTACAACGGCTCGGGAAAGAAATGACGTATTCTGAAAGATACGCAACACATTACATACAATGCTTTTGTTTATGCTAATTATAAGGCTTATGGCAACAAAATAAAAATACACAATGAAGTCACTGAGCACAGACAAATTTAGCTCACCTTTTCCCCTTCTTTTTATTACATAACTTCTCAACATTATTTAAAAAATGCATTGTCGAGTTTTTTCCGATTGGTCAACCTTATAATATTTTGTTAGCTCCCTTGACTGATAGGAGTTTATTAATCAAAAAAATATCTTAAACGATAAAAATTTGAGTTGAGAGAATTTCCGCATCGAAGAGATTTCATAATCCAATTATGATTTGCATGAATGAAGTTCCTCTTGAGGATTATCTATAAACTTTATGAAAGATAATCTCACAACGTCCACTCGTATAGATGAAATTTTCTCACACGAGACTAAATTTTTCATTATGCTACGCATACGTAATTACTATGTGAATCATACATTAAACGCATAAATGCAGGTGTGTGTATATGCTATCAACGTTATTTTTTTTTAATTTTTCATTGTGTTTTGTGTGCATGATTAGTTTATGCTGAACCCCTTGCTCATCATTTTCATTTTTCATTTTAAACTTCGCATACAAACATTGTCAACTGACTGCTGTTCCCCTCTTTTGGAATGCTGTAATATAATCTTGGATCGATTCAATCAATCACCATACTATTGGCTTATTTTAGTGGTAAGCAAGCATTTGATTATCGACTAAAACTGCAAGTCATTCAAAAATAGAATATAATTAAAAGAGAAATGTTTGAATCAAAAAGATCCCATACACGTTTCTCTTTGCGTTCTATTATAGGTACAATACCGTTTTTATCTCTCGGTAATAAAAAAAAACTCGCGCTGAACCTCGCAAATCACTTTCCATTATTAGGAAACAAGATCTTTAATTTGTCCAACACATACGCAACGAATATACATTTTATAATATATAAACAAGGGAGTTAGTGTTATGTCGTCGTCGTTGGTAGAGATAATTGAGGAAAATAATGAACAATGTACTGCATTACATAAGTTCGATTTCAATCAATTTCATTGGTTCATATCATGTTTGACGGTCCCCTGCAGAAATTGTTACGAATTAAGAATCGAGTATTCAAAGATCTTTGGTATTGGATCTAAGTTTTCCCTTAATGACGGGATATGCGAAGTAGCCCTTCTGCCACTGCATTGGTAACTAATTTATTGGCTCTCTTCTTTGATCAATTTGTCACTTTTATCATAATGTGGTCCAAGTTTAATCCGCCCTTTATTTAAGTATTGCAAAATTGCAGTATTATTAAACGTTTAATTATTCAATTATAATTTAAGACTAAATGATTTGATTTACCAATTATTTTTTAGTTTGAACAAAAAATCCGGGTATCTAGAATATTAATCTGCATGGTTTATGTATGATTATTAATCCGACCGAAAATTCTAAATACTAATACATGTAAATTTTAATTCGGGTAAAACTAATGATCGACCGATCTCTTAACAAAAATCAAATGTATTATTATTGTAAAGAAATTTCTCGTATTCTCTATAAATTTGGTGAATTCTGGAGTTTCTTTATACATTCAGTTAATATTGAACCGAATGACTAAATTATATAAAATCAGTTTATTTAAGAAAATCGAGAGATTTTTTTCTTTTTATCAATAGTTTTTTGTGGAAAATGCACGTTTATGTTTTACCGTTATGTGTGCAATTAGAAGAATGCAAATATTTGTTATAGATGCTTACATGTATGGCATTTGATGTATTTGTTTTTTATATTATAAATTGATTTGTTTTATTAAAATTTTTTTTATTCATTTGCATAAATGCATGTGAAGTTCGTTTAAAAGAACTTTATCGAACTTTTCATTGCAAGTAGAATACAGAAGGTAAATTGACAATCTAATTCAAGCACGCGACTAAACAAAAGGTGCTTACAGAGAGATGTGCATGTATTGGGGTGCATCAACATAAAAATTCTTAGCCCGCTCATCATAATGAGAACACGAACTTTAATTGCACACGTAGAACATAGAGGATGCATTTAGCAATTTAAGTATCAAGCATGAGACAAGCATAAAGGTGTATACAGATGTATAGAAGGGTGCATTTATCTATTTGCCGTTTAACATAAAATTCGCAGTGCCATAATTAAATCACACGCACATGTTATATACCAACCATCTCTATGCATACTATATATCACATACAGCGTTGCAAACTGATAAATCCACATTTCCTTGTGTAAAGTAAACCGTTCGAAATTCCTGACAAAGAGGTTTGAGATTAGTTATCAAATTTTTGGCGATCTGGCGTACGATTTTTTCAATTCATTTTATAATAATTCATTTACTGAAATGCTATAATTTACGTTAGAAATCAAACTTTTTTATGAAAAGTTCGAAAAAATTGGGAACAATTTGCTTTATATAAATTGTCAAAAAATATTTTTATTTTCCCAAATTTCACACAATTATTCAGACAAGTCGTTAAGTCTCTTCCCCCCTTCCTCTCCCTATTGACCCAAGATTTAACACGTCAATGCTCTCATGAAAGTTTGAAATAGTATGCCATCGAGTATTATTATCATTTAAAGATACATGATAAATTTGCCATACAATATATCTGGCAGTTTTCGAATTAAGTAATTTGATAACGAAAGAGCAAGTGGACACTAACATTGTTAAGCTGATGTGACCATTTATATATTTAAATGTTATAATATGAATACATGTAGTAAATTCTAACAAAAATCAACATTGATTTAAAAAAATCTAAAAATCAGTGAAGGATAATAGACAATACTACTATGTAAATGCCCATCATTCCTGCATGAACATTGTATGACCAAGGCTCCATCAAGCAATGCTCGAAGATCTCCATGCGCTATTTTCATCTCTATCCATTATAATCCCATAATTTTGTAATTGTACACTTTAGATCCTCCAATTCTTTGAATATTACCACAGATTTACAAATCTTGGATGATAATATGAACTCGCTTTGGTGACTAAACGTTGGCGAACGGTATTGTGCTCAGAAAAGCATTTTTCGGATAGTTTCTCATAATTCACCATAACTGATAAATTCACGAGTAAGAAATGCAAGCAATTTTCGATGAATTTCAATTAGCAAACGTAAAATTTCACGTCGCATTCAAAAAATAGAATTATTAATTCTTTTGGCTTTCGCTTCTTGCATTTTAAAGTTGATGCGGCAAATAGAACTTTTTTGAGATAAGATTGTCATATAGCATCACCTTTAGTTGGTGAGCACCATGTAAAAGCTATGCGAGTCAATAGAGACTACATTGATAGATATACCCGGGAATATGTCATTCATTAGTTAAGCATGAATAAAATAAGTTTACTATCACAAATGATTTTATGAGGAATGGACCATTTATTAGTTTTGCGCTTCTTTCAAAATGAAGAGGCCAGAACATATCTTTAACCTTCTACATAAAATTAAATAAATAAACTGATCAAATAAATTAAAATAAAAAATTATACCTTATAACAATATGTACAATATATACTGATGGAGTGTGTAAGTATGAGTATAAAAACGATTCCAGATAGACTTTGAAAAGTTTTTGGACGAATAGTAAGCATTTGACGTAAATCCTTCTGAAACGGTATGCTTGTAGATTTGTATTACGCTTAATGACTTCGTCTCTGGCAATTAATGTCTCATCGATAGCCTCATCAACAATGTTATCAGATCTACATATTCCGAAATATCATGTCAAGACGAACAAAAATTCGTAAACACTTACGTTCATCCCATATTACAGCTTTTTGGAAGTTTGCATCTTCCTTTCTATTCGAGTCTTACCAGCTTGAACATCTGCAAGAAGTCTAAGTTTGTCTTTAAGAAATTAAGGCTTAATCTAATTTCATTTCGTCAAGCCAGTATGACAGTCTTTAGAGTGTATTTTCTCGCTCGAGATCATCTTTCTGCTTCGCAGGCGTAATCTTTCTTCATATAACAAAGGAGGAAGTGGTGGTTAAGGTATCAGCCTTTTGAAAGGTTAGTTCGGAAATGCTGTAGAGATGATGATGTCTTTGTGACAATCTTTCCTTTGCACGACGCAAAGTATCCAATGGAATGTGTGCAGACACATGGAAAGGAGAAAGTGAGATAATGTTTTCAATTGAAGTAGTCAATACTACCTTGATCGATTTTGAAATCGATCTACCGGAATTTCAGATGACGGAAATAACTATAAAGAAGAACAGGACAATGGGATGAAGAAACAATAAAAAATGGTAAGCAGTATT